AAAAAAAAAAAACGTCTTAAACGTCTTTAAATCGAGGATATCATAAAACCTTTCTCAACCTCTTTTTTTTTACTATTTTTCAAAAAAAAATTCCCATAGCAACACGAATAGCGTGCATCATTTCCTAACTTCATCGAAACATCTCGATATAATTTTGAAACAATTTTCCACGTCGTTTTTTCCAACATTGAAAAAACGTTTAAGAAAAATAATTCAAAGACTCATCCCTTATATGATTCGAGATATAATTTTCAATTTTCGTGGCAACATTGTTGAAACGACACCAGAAATCGTAGATTTACACAAGGAAATCGTTATTTCGTCTTCTCGGAGTTTTGTCTCTGATTTTTCTTCTCCCCCATGTAAAATATTATAAAGCGGAGCCGATATTATACGAAAGAAGACGAAGGAAGACAAATAGACGAGCTCTCTCACCCTCTCTCTGGCGAGTAAACGCGAGCACGAAACATGTTATGAGTAAAAATTTTCCATTGGACCGTGCAAACTCAACGTCGTTATCGACGATAGAGAATTTTTCCCTAGGAAAATCTTCTCCTCTCTCTCGCGCCCGCTGACCTCTCGTGTCTCCCCCTCTCCCTCCCTCCGTGATCCATTCTCCGTCGACGAGAAATTATATTCGAAAGCGTTCCATTTGCCGTAGCCAGGAAATCGCTTTTAACTTATTCCATTCCCGGAGAGAGCGACTCCAGCATCTTGACACGGTGGATCTGCTTAAATTTTTAAAATTCGCCCAACCCTCTTTTGCATCGAGGACACGTTGGATCGAGAATGTTCACGCCTGTCTGAAAGATTAAACCTGTTTTTTTTTTTTTAGCTTATCCCATTCGATTATTTCCTCAAGTTCTAAAATTATTAGTTTTTTTTTTTTTTAATATTCACATTTATCCTTATTATTTTGTAATGATATTTTCGAATTGAAATTGAGTAAATTGTTGAGGATAGTTAGACAAATTTCATATTTCAATTATTTGTTATTTGTTTTCATTGTTACGAATAATTATTGGAAAGTTTTCTTGTGTATTTCTTGCGTTTGATGGTTAAAATTTTTATGATTATTATTTTTCTTGTTTTACGTTCCTTGTGGCTTTATTACAAAAATTTCTTATACTTCATTAAATCTCTTGCAAAAGAAAATTTTATCTCGTTAAAAAAAAGTGATTCAATAATAATTATCGTAAAAATATTCTGTATTTTGATATACGTGACCGTTAATTGAACATAATTTTCTAAAAGAAAAAAAAATGAAATTGCAAATCGAATATTTATTTTTTTTTTTTAATTATAAAATATTCGTTTCGAAAATTAAAATAATTTTATTGTTTCTCGGTTTACGTTCACGGTAATAAATTATCATTAATTTCGATGTTTTAAGCTTCGGATAATTCGTGATTTACGGGACCACGATTTTCAATGGTGGAAATTTGGTGGAAAAAGCACATTGACCTTTCAAATTCGTGGAGGAAAGAGCGGTCGGAAGCCGGATCAAACACGGACCGTTTCTACTTGATGATTCTCCTTTTTTTTTGTTTTCACAGAGACATAGTAATCCCGAAATCCAGGGCGGTTCAGCAGAATCGACGAATGAGAACGGAAACTTCGGTCGACACGGAGGACGACGACGCCTTCTTCGATTCCGAGGACGATGACGAGGATCAGGACGAGTCCAAGTAAGTGTTCACGTTTTATTGTTAATTATCATAATGAATGTTATTATATATTCAGAGAAAGAAATTTAATTGCGTGTGCATAAATGGTTGAATAAATTTTTATTCAAATTCCATTTTAATAGCTGTTTTTATTAATAAGAATATGAGTAAAAAAATTATAATAATTTCTAAATAATAATATTAAGTTTTATTAAATTTGAAGATCAATTTAATAATTTAATATTCTTTCTAACAAAATTTCCATTGATATGTTAAAAAAAAAACCTATATAATATAATGTATATAATATCATTAAAATTTTTGTTGCAATATTTCAAAATTTTTAAGCTACATATAATAACAACAAACGAAATTTCATCGTTAATTAATTATAGACACGAACACTTTAACAATTTATTTCTCTCGTCTGTAAATTTCGAAATGTTTTTTTCTTTCTGCTACATTAATTAAAAATTCTATTTTTTCCTGTCAAGTTAGAAACAATTTTTCATTCACGCTTGCCTAAATTACCAAAAAAAAAAAAAAAACGAGAAAGAAAAATGGAAAATTTAATTAACTCATATTCTAAACAAAGATTGGGATAAACTTTTTTTTTTTCAAAAAGAAAATCACAAAAACAACGACTATAAACAAAAACTTCAAACGAAAAATATTCAGAAATGGAAGATAGAAAGGTCTGGGGAAAAGAAATGAAGAAATTTTTTTTTCTCAAACCGAACTAATCCGAAAAGTTCTTCCGTCTGACTTCGTTATTAAAAGAAGAGAAGACTTGAATTTCGAGGATGGAGAGGGGGGGGGTTGAGGGTAAGAGAGATCCGCTTCCGCCGTTGTTTACTTTTTCCTAGCCACGTAAAATATCCTCCACGGGGGCAACAAACTTTCAATGTCCGGAATAAAACATCTCGATATCGAGATATCGAAAGCTTTACGTTCGAACAATTTGAATTTCCTCCGTCAATTTATTTCTATTCCTGAAAGGAGATATCGTCGTTTTATCAAATTTAACGGATATCGTAGGAATATTGCTTTTCAAATATATCATTTCGAGGATTTATAAAATAAATGACCGATAGCAATTATTGCATAGGATTTCCTTTTTATCTGAATAAAATTTTTTAAAGGAAAAATATATTTTTACGTATAAGTTATTTAAAATATATTATACAATAGTCTTCTTTTTTATGTAAATGGAATTATAGAATTTTTTAATTTAATAATTTATGTAGAAGGTATTAATTAACTTGATTCAAAAAATAAGAATAACCAATTTATTAATAATTCTAAATGATAATAATCTCATTAAATATTCTAATTATAATTTTATCAACAAGCAGTTATTAAATATTAAATTGTCCTTTCCTGACTGGTTAAAAAATTCAAACTCGAATTAAATCCATTTTATTCTTCTTCTATCCTTATTTAAATGAAGGAAGAAAAGAGAAAGTGAAGTTGATCATTTTATCTCGCGTATCAATGTTCACAGTTTCGTTCACAAACTGTCTCCCTCGAACGATAAATAAAAATATATATACATATACACACATTGTACAGGGATTGTATAGAAAAAAGAGGAGGAACAATGACGAATACACGAATAATTCGGTTTAATTGGTTCCTCTGTTCCCGCGTAAGTATCGCACGCGTGTATTGTTTCTTTTTGAAACAACCATAAAGGAGAAAGAGAGAGGAAAAACGGGAAATACGCGCGTAAAAATAACAAAGAAAAATGGAGTGAGAAAAGAGAGAGGGAGTGAAATATATCGGACGAGTCCCAGCGGACGAGTACAGCAAGGCATGTTTTGTTTTTCACGAGACATTAAGCCGGAATTATTGGTTTCGACGGTTCTCCTCGCGTATCGAACGCAATTCCCCTCCCCACACCACGGTACACGGTGAATAAAAGGTTAGCTTTATGGGTCACGTTTTCACGAATGCTCGCCCCTTAAGTTCCAGTGCGATCATCCGAACGTGGAAGAAAGGAGACGGTGTCTTACTTTCCGCCTCGAGTGTCGCGTTTGATGGTATTCCACAACGTGTGGAAATGCGCGGGGAGAATATATCTCCTTTCTCAACGAGAGTAAGAGAATGTGAAGAGGGATTACTTTAATCGATTACTCAAATAATTTTATAGATTTCCTCTTTTACAACTAATTATCAGAAATATTGGATAATCAACAATGAAAAATACAATACGATTCTTTCTATCATTTCCAAAGTCTTCTTTATTATTATTTCTAGAATTTTTAGAAATAATTAATAATATTTATAGTTTTTAATAATGTGAATGAAAATTTTAAATAAATAAAAGTAGAAATATTTTTTGTACCTTTTGTATCAGGGTTGATTAAAATATATTTTAATA